CACGGTGCCAGCAGCTTGGCCTTCAGATAGACAAAACATGAAGTGGAAAAGTACAGGCTTCTGCATATGTGAGAATGAAGTTAGAACTTTAACCATAGTTGCTTCAAAGTGTCATGAAATCACTACAATACCTTATCTTATCTTCTTCTCTTTATGACATTTTTATTTGTGAGTTTGGAGCTCAAACCGTCCATGGTTCAATCCAACATTTTTGGTTTGACTGAAAGAAGACAGATATATAATAATTTAGATTTCTCACATCTCTGACCCTTTGTTATTTATGACTCAACATAACCATCATCTCTCTAACTAACAACTCTGTGTGAAGCTGTAAAAAAAAAAAGGGTTTTGTCACAGCTCAGTGCTTTCGCTACATTAATCTGGGAAAAATAGCAGGCAAAAGGTTCACACTCGGCAAAACGCGCTCTCGTCTGCAGGCGGAGTTAAATGATGGGAAGCTCTCCGACTTGTCTTCCCAAAAGGCGTCAGGCGTTGGAGGCAGTAAACCAGCTTCTTGTTCTGTCTCGTTTTGATGTGTCATGGTTTCTGCCTGCATGTCTACATCTGTGTTTCTCCCTTTGGAATCCGTCTTGTCATGAAATAAATTTGAGGAGAAAAAAAAAACAAGTCTCAAAATCAGAATCAGAATCAGAATCAGAATCATTTTTATTGCCAACGTAAGTAACGGGAGGTCACAGACTTGGAAATTGCTTTGGCTCAGTGCAACAGTCAAAAAGAGATAATAAAAATAAGAATAAAAAACACTTCTAAAGAATAAATTTAAATTTAAAATAGAGTTACAGTTACTATTTACAATATACAAGTGCACATGGTGCACACAATGTAAGGTGACAGCAGTACAGTGAAGTAAAGTGACGTATGATGGGCAGTAAAGTGACTTTATAAAGGGCGGGGGGACAGGTTAAGAAGTGTTCAAGAGTCCAACAGCAGAGGGGAAGAAACTGTTCTTGTGGCGGGAGGTTCTAGTCCTGATGGACCGCAGCCTCCTGCCTGAGGGGAGTGGTTGGAATAGTCCATGTGCAGGGTGAGAGGGGTCGGCTGTGATACGACCAGCCCGGCCTCGAGCTCGGGCGACGTACAGGTCCTGCAACGATGGAAGGCTGCGGCCGATCACTTCCTCTGCAGAGCGCACAATGCGCTGTAGTCTCTGTTTGTCCCTGACTGTGGCTCCAGCGAACCACACGGTGATGGAGGAGGTGAGGATGGACTCGATGATGGCCGAGTAGAACTGCACCAACATCTGTGCAGGCAGCTTGGCTTTCCTGAGCTGCCGCAGGAAGTACATCCTCTGCTGGGCCTTCTTGATGAGGGAGCTGATGGTCGGCTCCCACTTGAGGTCCTGGGTGATGGTGGTGCCCAGGAAACGGAAGGACTCCACAGAGGTGATGGGGGAGTCCATCACGGAGAGTGGGGGCGGGGGGACAGTGCTCTTCCTGAAGTCCACAATCATCTCCACTGTCTTCTGGGCGTTCAGCTCCAGGTTGTTACCACTGCACCAGGACACCAGCCGGTCCACCTCCCTCCTGTAGGCGGACTCATCGTTGTTGGAGATGAGTCCAATGAGGGTGGTGTCGTCCGCGAACTTGATCAGCTTCACGGAGTCGTGGCTGGAGGTGCAGTGGTTGGTGTACAGGGAGAAGAGCAGGGGAGAAAGAACACAGCCCTGTGGGGCTCCTGTATTTATAATCCGAGAGTCCGAGACATTCTTCCCCAGACGCACTCGCTGCTTCCTGTCCGTCAGGAAGTCAGTGATCCACCTGCAGGTGGAATCGGGCACGTTGAGCTGGGAGAGCTTGTCCTGGAGCAGGGATGGCAGGATTGTGTTGAAGGCAGAGCTGAAGTCCACGAACAGGACCCTGGCGTAGGTCCCCGGGGAGTCCAGGTGCTGTAGGATGTGGTGGAGGGCCAGGTTAATGGCGTCGTCTACAGATCTGTTGGCTCTGTAGGCGAACTGCAGGGGGTCCAGGAGGGGGGAGGTGAGGGACTTGAGATGGGAGAGAACCAGGCGTTCAAATGACTTCATGACGACAGACGTAAGTGCTACAGGTCTGTAGTCATTGAGTCCTGTGATCCTGGGCTTCTTCGGGACGGGGACAATGATGGAGGATTTGAAGCAGGCCGGGACATGGCAGGACTGCAGAGAGGAGTTGAAAATGTCCGTGAACACAGGAGTAAGCTCACTGGCGCAGTGTCTCAGAGTGGCCGGAGACACGTGGTCCGGGCCAGGAGCTTTGCGGGGGTGCAGCCTCAGGAAGAGTTGTTTAATCTCTTTAGCGGCTATTGTTAGGCTGGGGGCAGGGCTGATGGGTGGGTCGTTAGAGTAGTGGGGGGTGGGGGAGGGAGAGGTGTCAGGGGCAGCATCAAAGCGACTGAAAAATAAGTTCAGATCGTCAGCTAGCTTGTGGTCATCAGCACAGGGGGGGGCTTTGGGTTTGTAGTTGGGTGATCTCCCGTAGGCCCCTCCAGACAGAAGCAGTATCGTTGTTACCAAACTGCTCCTGTAGTCGTTCTCTGTGCCGGGACTTGGCTGCTTTCAGTTCTTTCCTGAACTGATATTTAGCTGCTTTGTAGCCGCTGCGGTCCCCCTCCCTGAAAGCAGAGTCCTTTGCTTTCCTGAGCTGCCGGAGTTTAGCAGTGAACCAGGGTTTGTCGTTGTTATAGATGACCCTGGTCCTTGTTGGAATGATGCTATCCTCACAGAAGTGGATGTATGACGTCACAGTGTCCGTATATTCATCCAAGCTGTCTGTGGCAGCTCTGAAAAGGTCCCAGTCTGTAGATTCCATGCATGCGCGCAGCTCTTCCACAGCTTCATCAGACCACACTTTGGAGCTCCTCACTGCAGGTTTCGAGAGCTTTAGTCTCTCTGTCTGTAAGCAGGAACCAGATGTATCATGGAGTGATCTGAGAAGCCGAGGGCTGGCTTGGGAACAGCGCGAAAAGCTCCGCGCACGGTGGTGTAACAGTGATCCAGAGTGTTCTCCTCTCTGGTCGGGCATTTGATAAACTGTCTGTATTTGGGTAATTCCTGGCTCAAGTTTCCCTTATTAAAATCCCCCAGGATAATAATCAGAGAGTCCGGGTATAAGCGTTCCATACACAGTACTTGCTCTGCGAGTGCGCGCTGAGCCTCGCGCGCGTCCGCGCATGGCGGTATGTAAACAGAGGCAAGAATGAATGAAACAATTTCAAAAATAGAGTGTTTTGGGAGCAGGCAGTTTGATGTGACAGGTACGGAGAGAACATGTGACACCGAGGAACACTGGGAATGCACACTTTCCTGTAGCTGCTACTAACGTTACTGGAGACTTTTAAAAATCCTGCCTTTTGTACAACGTGGGTGGAGTTTTTGCACTAGTCAAAAAATATATTATGAGGTTTGAACGGTATCATTTTGTTTGTGAGCTTATCCAAAGTATTGTGATCCCTCCCCAGACTTTCAGATAATCTTGTAAATACTGACAATTTGTTAATTTGGACAATCCATTTGGTTCCTCGTTATTTTGGTACAACCACAAACTTCTTGACATGTTACTTTTTGTTTGCTACATTTTCAGTGGTAAAAATGGAATTCCATGGTTTTTAGGCTAAACTTATTTCATTTGTTTTCATTGTTTTTGTTAAAAAAAGACAACAACAAAAACATCTAGATGCATGGATATGAGTCTATATATTTCTAAATTTTGTTACTTACGTGGAAATAAAAACACAAGTTGACAGCCAAAAATTTGTCAGGGGTTTCTCAACTGATTCAGCCTAATGTTGGTGTTCCGAGTCCGAATATCACATGCTTTTTGCTCTGTCAGGTCAACTTTTTGAGATACAGCCACAGTGTTAAGGATTATGTCTACGTTATTATGAATTCTGCTTATCAAATTTGATGGAGTAAATAAAAACTGAATGACTTTGGATACGTTGACTTTTATTTCTTGAGGAAAATGGAAAAAACGTCAAGGGTTTCTCAGCTGATGATCCGCAGAAATTTATTTTTAACGCAAAATCGATTTAAAAAAATATTTCTGTAGCAAAAAATCCTGACCTGATTGAGCAAAACCAAGGTCATTTTCAGACTCAGAGCATCAACATTAGTCTAATTCAGCTGAAAACCCTGGACTATTTTCTAAAAATATTTTTTTGTTACCCAGTGTAATGATTCTGATTCTGATATTTCTAAATGATACAATACAGCAAATCAAGGCTTTTGGCCTTTTTCCTGACAGTTTGCCACTTTTCCCAGGATGGTGCAGAGACAGAGCACCGGTCTCCACTGTCTGCTCAATGCTGTCTTTATTCAAATAGCTTTTTTTTTAAATATATGTTGTTTGGTGCACAGTGGGGTACTTTTACACATGTATCCATTGGTACTGAAAATACCAATCTGAATTTTTTCATTCATCCGTTTTCTATCCCTTTATTCATCCATTTCTGGGTCGGGGGGTGGCAATGAGAGCTTCCACCCAATGCTCATTTTCCCAGTCTCTCGCTGATCCTCTGCAGGTGAGTCCACAGGAAGATGGCTGCTGCTCCATCTTGCTGACACAGCCTAGTTCTTTCAGAGGGCCCCCTCTGAAACGTGGGATTAAGTGTCTTGCCCAAGGACACAACGACAGCAGACATGAATGGGAGCAGTTGGAGAAGTTCAAAGGCCAATGTTCTACCAACGGAGCCACTGTCGCCCCGCTCAATCTCAATCTAAATCTTTATATCTAATTTGCAGAAGATTCATTGTTTTTAGAAATCAAAATGTCAAAGCAAAATTTATTTATATAAAAATAGGACAAAAATTGATAAAACATACAACAATCATCATCTCTAACGGAAAAAAGTCAATATATAACAAAAAAATCTATTTTTAGCACATCTCTGGGTGAAATAGAGTCTAAAGTCAGATTCTATGGTCATTTGTGATTCCTTTCTTCAAACTCGACATTCTTCAAAAACTCATTTGCTCAGCTCCTTCAGACTGCATCAAAACAAGGTCAGCATGAAATAAAAAGTTTAGGAATGCGAGGAATGAGCCGGCGGATGTAATGGACTGAAACTCTAAACTCTACAGACAGCTTCCAAAAGTCCTCATGGTTCCCCCCCCCCCCCCCCCCCCTCCTCCTCCTCCTCCTCCTCCTCCCCCCCTCCTCCTCCTCCTCCTCCTCCTCCTCCTCCTCCTCCTCCTCCTCCTCCTCCTCCTCCTCCTCCTCCTCTTCATCATCAGGGGAATTACAATGAAGGCCACATCCCCCCGGACGCCGCGGGAGAAGGGCCGCTGCCGCCTACAGTAAACAACAACACGGCTCAATAGTGGCTGGTTTGAAGGCTGCGGTTATCTGAACGTGACAGATAGAGTTCAGAGCATCAGAAGTTTCCTCCACGTTTGGATTCTCATGGAATGAAACGTGGAGAAAGACAGTGCAAACACGCGTCACTGAGAATAATTCGTTTAGATTTTTTTACCAAGAGCTCTCACAAACTGCATCTTTAAGAGTCAGACAGATTGAATCAAATTTTTTTAGATGGTACCTCTCTTGTCTATAAAAGGACCACGTAATGCTTTTACCTTCTCTATGCTTTAAACATACATGTAAGAAAAGCCTCTCTTTGATGCTTTGGGGAGGGGGCTGCTTGGATCTTCTCTTTTTCACTTTTCAAGCAGATCTAAAGATTAGGGTCAGAGGCCAAGTTGCAACCGTGTGAAAACTAGTGAACAGAAATCATGTAAAGTATAGTATTATAGTATATAAAATGTTCAGGGATTGCACACTTTATGTCTTGTCACTAGCCATGTAAAAAAGTATAGATACTGTACATGGAAAATTATTTAAAATTATATATTTAGTTCCTCCACTTGCCGTAACCTCCACCAGTGAGATTTGCAAAGAGCTCACCTGTCAATACAATCAGTCGCTTGTGCAACCAGTGCATGTGAAAATGATCTCTCCTTCACAAGTGGAAGCGGTGGAGTCAGTTTCAACAATCCTCGACGTGTTTTCGACTCTGCACTGTGCGTTTAAACCAGAGGTGGGCAATTGTTTTCACCCGGGGGCCACACACTGGGGAAGCAGCACGATGTGGAGGGCCGTGGCCATTTTATTATACAATTACAATTTATTTTAATTCAGAAAACAAGAAAAAGAAGAGCCAGAATAAAAACAGGTGCATAGTTCTTTTTACATGATCCACATTTTAAAGTTTGTCTAAATATGAAGCTGAGAAGGATTAGGGGCCAGATAGAAACGTTAAAGGGCCCGTATGTGGTCTTCTTCAAACCATACAACCTCACAGCTACGAGTGGTTTAATTCTTACATATCAAACTGAAATCATCTGACTCTGATTTGTTTGGCTTTCACTGACTCTTGAAAGCCAAACAAGTGGACGATTTTGAGTTCAAAACCTAATGTGGTGTAAAAGCTGCTTTCTGAAGCTCTTCATGTTGTTAATTACGGCCCCTGCAGGTCCCTTTGGTGAACATACGCACTGAGCATCAAAAGATCTGCTGGGAAATACGTGTGTGCGCAAATGTTATGAAATTCACAGCTCATCGCCTGCAACGCCTTCCTCGGAGAAGCAACATTTGAAGAGATTTAGTCTGGCTGCTCTCAGTTATGTCTCCTCTGGCTGCTCTCAGTTATGTCTCCATCAAATCAACAAATCCATAACTACATTGGTCAGGATAAGGATCAACAAAGGTCATACATGCTTATTAGACAAAGGGCTGCATGAAAAACCAGAAGGCGGCCATAGTGACGTCAAGAAATCCAACTCTTAACTGTTGTGTTGGAGAGATTTGGTTTGAGATAAATCTTTCTTGTGAATGAAGATACTACACAATTCTGTTTAAAAACCACCACGAGTCGTTTATCGTTTCTGTATGTATAGTGTGTATGTAATTGTTTGTTTGTTTGGCTGGGACAGTGTGTATTAATGAACAGCAGGAGAGGTAAACAAACCAGATTGTTGCTAAGGAGCTCATTTCCATTTGTAATCCCACAGTCACACACAAACTCACAAAGTTATTATGGTGGAAAAATGTCTGGCTGTAAATATGCTTTAAATGTGAATGAGTTTAACATCCTGTATGAAACGTCAAAAATAATACTGAATAATAATAAATTGTGATACATTTTACGTTTACTTTTGAATGCGCTGGAAATGACAGCAAGTCCGAAGTGTCTCTGAAACAGTTGTTTTGTGTTTTACAATTGTTCTTTGTGTGTGCTTTTTTCTGCCTGACATGTTGCTGCAGTAAAATGTTCATGGTTTTGCACTGGCCCAGACCGGAGCAGAGAGGATTCATGGTCCGAACCAAGAGGATCAGGCGAAAATCCACCGGAGGAATGCTAACTTTTTGAAAAATGCTAACAAAGAATTCAGCATTTTACTTTGGACCAGAGCAGAGAGAATGGACAGAACCAAGCGCCTGCTCCACCTCTGCTGCTGTGACCTAAAGCGCTGTTGTATTTTACTATAACTATTGTTAGCTTTTTAGAATAATCCATTTATTTATATGTTTTGTTTGTGTGGATGGATGTGTTTTTTGCGGCTACTTGACACCTGCATTTCTCCTACGGCGAACAATAAAGTATCTATCAATATATCTTTTCATTGTTTAATACCTACTATACTGCTAAACATGAATTCTGAAATGGCAGCTCTCCAACTTGATTTACCACGGCCATAACCATAATTCTCCTCACAAAACAGTTTGAGGCAGTCTTGCAGTACTGTGCCATGGGCTCGGCTCCTTAATGAACTTGAATATTCCAGATGGGTAAATCTGCGGATGTGTCTCAGAATGGAGCAGGAAGACGAGGCCTGTAACAAGAGGACAGCGTGGTTCAAACAGCCACCTGCTCGTCTACAGCTCGGCTCAAGCCATCTGCCCTCAATCAAATAATTTCTATATGCAAATGACTGCATGACAGGTTCAACTTTAAGTATAATACATTTGGCTGTGATTTTTTTAATGGAATGCAAGAAAAAATACATAGAGGGACACGTTGATTCAAGCATTTTAATCTATTCATATTTCAAAGAATGTCGGTCCATTTGTAAGTGTGGCCCAGTGGAGGCAGGTCCCGGCTCAAAAAAGTCCAAAATGACAAGCGCTGACATGCTGCAATACCAGCCCGGGCCGATGGGGGTGGACCCGGAATAAGAATTAGCCAATGCTAATGTGTAGCATCTTCTTTCCTCTAGAAAACGGCTTTACAAGGTGGTCCAAAAGTCTTGATTGGCTCTTGGCCCAAAGCTCCGCTCCAGATGCTGTCAATGTTATGGGGTATTGTATTTTTTTGGACCAGTTTAGTTTGGACCATTTTGAAACTGCCCATACACGGCAAAAGTGGTGGCACATTAGTTTCAACAGCGGAGATAGGCGTGACAGTCTATGGTGTTGTTAACTTTATTCACAACAAAAATATACACCCAATGGGCACCAATAGGTTGTGTTCATGTTGTAGTTACATTTAAATGGGAGAGCACGCACCAACACAACTTTAAGGTAAAGAAGCCATTTTTTAAGTGTATAGATTTAGATTAGATTCGCAAACTGGCCTTATAGCTTTTGATGTAAAAAAGGACAGTATTGGACAGTATTCACTGTCCAACTTCATGCAAATGTTTTTGAATATTGCCACCACTTCTAGAAACCGTTTGGACAAAATAATTAGACCATAGTTGATATCTGCTGACGAATATTATGTGGAACTTTGTGGTAGTTTTATTTCATGTGGATTAGAACAGGAATTTGTCACCATAGATACCAGGAAATATTTTTCAAGGTTGTGATGTCACATGAACGCAACCTATTGACAAAGGAATAGAGCATTCAGTTATTACCTTTGAGAAACTCAGAATTTACGGAGCAGAGAACAAATGGTTTTTAGCTTTGGTCGCCCACTGATACTACGACTGCTGCAAAGTGCGAGCAGCAGTTCAATCCCAGAAAAGTAATAAATCAATGGCATACAATTGGATCTGTAAAGTGCCTTCAGTCTCTGTAAAAGGAAGCTTCACCATTTGTCATTTTGAAATTGACTTTAAATAATTTATCCCGTTAGCCAAAGCCCACCGCCCGCAGCTGTTAAAAGAGAGAAAGACGAATCAAGTCACGACTAGAATAACTTTTTCATGATTTTGTGCCGTCCAAATTTGCAGCTAATCACGTTAATGAATGCGTCAACGTCACAAAAGACAAGTATAATTTACTAGACAGTGTTCAAATAAACGGTGTGAGCAAACAGTGTATGCATAATTCGTTTCCTGGGAAGGCGCAGTGCCAGCGTGTCCTCGGCTTCACTAAGTGCCAGACAGACTTCATTAGGGACAGTCCCACAGGAAACACACGCGATCACATCATCCATTCATACCCATTCACACGGCGGTTTTACGAAACGACAGCCCGGCCAAGGTCACCACGGCAAAGGGCAAAGAGGAGGAGCCACAAAACCACCGTCACTATAGTTATAACACAATGCATTTACGTTTTTCTTTGTGATTTTGGCCAAGAGGTTTGAATCATTTTTGTACACTGCAAAAAATGATAAAACAATGAGGTATCGACGATCTAAAAAGAAGATTTGCCAAAAGGACAAGCAAAAATGTCTTGTTTTAAAAAGATACAAGGAAATTCAAGAAATGTCTTCCTTGGAATGAGATATATATCTTGACAACACTTGAAATAAGACTGTTCCATTGGCAAAATAATGTTTTTAGAAAGTCAAAATAACTCAAATTAAGATTAAAAAAAGACCTGATTCAAGCATTTATGACCTTTTATTTGGTGACTTTTTGCTGTGTAATGTCTGGGAGGTTTTTGGTTGCTCTGGTTTACCACCTCAGTCTAGAACTTAAGCAGATACTTGTAGCAATGGTGTAGCTTTGGTTTCAGCTTTGGTGGGGACAAAAAATTAAATTAAAAAAAATATTTACATTCTGGTTGTAAATTGAACCCTGATCGCAAAACTTGGGGACGTCCATATCCACTGGACTTAGAGTTTTGTTCGGGCCTGAAAAATGAAGCCCGACCCGGCCCGCTAATGTTAAGCCCGAGCCCGTATAAGCCCGACCAATGAACGTTGTATAACAGGCCCGAGCCCGACAGAACCCGACACATCTGATTTCCCGTTGTACGCACTCTCCTTCCAATTGCAAGTTTAGTCTCCACTTTTGAATTTGTTTTGTCTCCACTTGATCCATTTCTACTATTGTTCCTGTTCGCTGTTGACCACAGCAGCAGGAGACACGGGGATGATGCGTTCACGGCTCGCTGCTGCTGTAGGACACACTGGTTACGGTGTCATTAATATATTCACTTTTTTTAATAACTTGTTGTCAATCAACGGACATTGTTATTAATATATATATATATGCAAATCATTATGTATAAAAATCATTTAAAAATAATTATAATAATAATAAAAAAGAAACATATATTTAAAAAAAGAAGCCCGAGCCCGGCACGAACCCGACAGCTGAGCGCCAAAAAGCGAAACTCTAACTGGACTATAAACACATTGTTGAAAAGCAACGACACTCAGTATTTACCGCATCAGTGATTTTGGGATGGAAACCGTGGCATTGTTTTTGTTGTTTACTCACATTTTAGGACGAGAAAAGACAGATAAAACATTTAACACGTTTCTTGACACTGGCGTCATGGCTTCACTGATCGCTTTTCAGAGAGCAATGTCAGTCAAACTTTACTTCTCGAAGGTAAACAGCTTGTTGCTAGTTACTCTGTCTCGATCCTCTTGTCATGCCTGGTCCCTGGCTCTCCCCCGGTCCTTCTTCTGAATGACTTATCTCGGCTTGGTCTTAACGTGGTTCTATTGGCTGGACTTAAGGAGATCGCTACAAGGTGGAAACTCTCTCACTTTGGTATCTCGCCGGCGTTGGATTATGACATTTGTTGACATCTTTGACATCTTTAAGGAGCTCGTCACACTCAGAAGAGAACCATTGACATGTGGAACGGTACAAACCAAATTTACCAAGCCTTTCTGCTTTTTTTGAGTTGATTCTGCCCTGGACCTTGTCTGTGCTTTTGTATTTGTTTGATGGAAATAAAACATTGATGACCAAAAAAACATGGCCATAATTGTTAAGCCACCATGACTGAATTATCCAACCAAGCACACATACAAAAGCCTAGCAATATAATTTAAACTTCGAACGGGACAGTCCACCTACAGTTCTGTTTTTCACTCTAGAAACATTTTTTGATAGCTTTGTGAATCCTGTCCCAGTTGTGAGACACCGAAAGACGGTTCATAAAAAGTACAACATTAAAGCAGGCTGACAAATCCATTTGAACCATTGAAACACAAGAACAAAGAGGTTTGGGAGAGTAGACAAACCCTCGAGGTCAGATAGAGTTCTTGGTTATGGACTTTGAGTTTTGACAATAGACTTCAATACAATCCTCGATACTTAAATTGTTTGACAATTGGGATTTCCGCAAGCTGCTTAGAATTCCTCAGAGGTTCAATACGTTGGTTGAAAATCAGACTTATCCCAATTATCATGCCTTATTATGCCGTACTCTATTCTTTACCTCTCTTCTCTGACTGATGCACCGAGCCAAAGCAATTTCCTTGTCTGTGACTTCCTGTTACTCACATGGCAATAAAATTGATTCTGATTCTGATCAACTTTGCTCCCAGTCACTGAAATAATATAGAATCCCACTTCCACATACAGTACATACACCAAAGGTCATGTAAAAGGCTACTCTGAGCCCTAATGCCGTGAAAATATTTTGTCATGAAAATACTTCTCGTACGTCCACAACACTATCATTCTGCCTCCATTCCGATACCGTCGTGAACAAACCCATTGCACATAAAGTCTTTTCATCCAATTCCTTTTATGTCTGATGCACTTTTATGTAAATGACCCAACTTCATCAGATTGTCTGCCTACTCTCTCTGCCCAGACTCTCTTGTGTTCCGAGCATTTCCATATGAGTAGGCTAATTACGTCTTGCTATTCCGTCCTCCGCACTGGGGCAGATCCACATGGGTGGTATGCTCACAGTATATGGTTCATTCAAAGGTCAACAAGTAAACAGGGCTATCGTCTTTCATATACGTTCATGCCAGTACTGTGTGTGTGTGTGAGGGTGCGTGGTCACGGGCTGATGGAATAAATCATTTGTGCGGCTCTTTTAAGGGGATTGATCAACTCCCAGGAGGTCAGTGAAGAGGGAGAGAGGCTATCATTGTTAGTGATTTGATCATTTCATTCCACGACCATTTCCTCCGCAGGGATCAATGCCATCGTTCCGAAGCTGTTCGTCACCCGTCGAAAGGCTGGGTTGTCAAAGAGCAGGGGGTGGGGTGGAAGTGGTATATAAGGAGGGAGAGATGTGGCTATGTGTAGACTTATTATTTGGCCAATTTTGTGAGCAAATAATTCGCCATTTCAAGACTTTTTGTACTGATTTTGAAATACTCTCTTCCTTCTGCAAATAGATACCAAATTAAATGTTAGAAGTGAGATCTGGCTTGTACATGTTTGTCATGGGTCTTGAAATGAGATGATTACCGTTCATACAGTGATTTGAATGGACTACAGTTTACAACATAAAATATGTAAGTAATGAACCAATTTCTTGGCTTTAAAACCAGATTTTTTGCATTCTAATTGTGACTTTACACACATTTCTAACATTCTGGTGTGCAGCTAATTTTTTAGTCGTTGATATTTTGATATAATAAATACCTCTACA